AACCTGAAACCTAAGAGGCAAAGAGCATGTCCCTAACCTATCTTTGGGATCAAAAAGAGATTTAGAAATTGATTTAATGTTAATGCAAGTTCAATTGCTACCATATGCCTATATTTGAAGATCAAAGGAAGGAAAGCATCACAACAACTCCATTGTAATGTCATTCATGAAAATGGTCAAGTGGAAGGAATTGTCATAATATATTACTTTTGGAAAACCCACGAAGAACACGATATATAGATTCAGAAACACTCATAGTTATGAAACAATGGTGAACAACCAGCATTAATCATAACTTAAAACTTAGAGACTAATACCCAAAGTAAATCAAGAAAAATCATGATTGTATCTTCTTCTTATCAACACAACCCAATAGAGGGATGACTGCATTATAAGGAATCAAGCCACCATGGGCCGAGCCTAAAAAAATAAAAAATAAAATATAATAGCAGAAAATTAACATGATTAAGAGATAATAAGTTGGAAATATTTGCGAAAGTTCTATTTCATTTCAAATTTAATGTGTACAAAAAAGTAAAAAAAATGCATTGAAAAAACAATACAATAGAGTTGAATTAATAAAATGATAAAATTGAATATAAAAATTACAATGGGATTGGATTATTGAAAAATATTACAAATAATCATCAAATAAAATTGAAAACAAAAAATTACAAGAATATAAAACATTGGATTCAACACTTTTTCAAGTTCCACCTCCATCATCTACATTTGATGAACTATCGGTTGAGGTGTTATGTCCTCCTTTGTCTTATAGCCTATTTCCTACATCTAGCTAATCCTTCAAGCAAATGCACATCTGTAAAAGATTGATCATTTGAGTTACTCCTCTTCTCGTCCAAAACTTAATTACTTTTAGAAAAAAGAAGACTTCAATGTAACTGTTGACACTAGAGGGGTTAGTATATCACATGCCATGGTTGAAAGAATTGGATTTTTTTTCTCTGCACTAGGCTAAAATATCGACTTTGTTTGTGAGCTAAAGTAGTATGTAAACACAGTTTATTATTGCGAATAAAATTAAAGTTCACTAAATGATGAACTAATGTTATATTTGGATATCCATATATTTGATGTAGAAGAAAATTTAGAATCTAAATTAAAAAGAGTTGAAACTAAATCTTTTTTATATATCTGAAAATTTTTTGGAGCATCATTTCTAATTGTATTCCTATAAACTTTCCTAAATTGAGAATCAATAGCATGTTGAATGAATTCTTTTAACATAATCTTTAGAAAAAATAAAGGGCATGCTTAGCATGCATAATGTATTTTGCTAATTCTTGCCTCATTTTTTCTTGAAAATATTTGAAATTACCAAATACTCCACTAGAAATTTGCATTTTGTTTTAGTCATCATCTCCCTCTTTATGGTGAGATGCCAGGTGTCTAGACAAATGTCTACATTTTTTGCAAATTCATTTTCTTCCCTTTCCAGGGATTTCCTCAATCTCATACATAGTTCAGACATGTCTTTAAATAAATATTATATTTATTATTACAATATAACATAATACATCAAAATTAAAGTTATTTGATAATTGATAAACGAAATCATCAGGTTCAAGTTAGGTAAATTACTTGTTTATGAAATTTATATTTCTGTATGTAAGTTTAAAATTTTATTAATGTAATTATTTCTAGAGTTAATGGAATTTCAAATAATGTAATTAAGATTTAAGATTGCAAAAAGCAAATGGTATCTATTTCTTTGAATCCAGATTATACTCAATTGGTTTGGGCAAATTAAAGTCTAATCCAAGCAATAATTTTGGGTGAATTACTTGTCTATGAATTTTAATATTTATTAAATAATTTAAAAAATGTATTCATGTAATTATTTCTACATTTAAATGGATTTTAAGTTAATGTTATTATGATAATTGCAAATGGTACTATTTACCTTAACACTCAATTGGTCTAGGCAAGTTCAACTCCGATTTAAGCATTATTTTTAAGTGATTTACTTGTATATGATTTTTTTATAGATAATTTTAAATTTTATTGGTGTAATTAAGATTGTAAATGATATCAATTTGACTATTTGCTCAAATTCAAACTAAATTTGAAATATTAAGTTTTAAGTGGTTTGGATCAAATTAGGAATGGCAAATTAATAATTTTGTGGAAATTTTTGGGTTGTCCTTTTGCCTTAAGTTACTTGATACCAAATAGGCCAGAACCTGAACTTATGTAAGCAAGTATATATTATTAAGAATGGAAGAATCTATGATGCCAGAAAGACATGATACTGGAAGCGTTTTGACCAATCACCCCCTTAATTTTATAAAAAAGAGCCCAAGGATTTTAATAAAAAGCATATGAATTGTTTCCACTTTTATGATACTAGTGGGGTGCACGTGCGTTGCACGAGTGTGTTTATCATATTATTGCTAAAAGAATATATTTGAATTATTATAAAGTATTTTTCAAATTTCAAGTATGAAAAATAATACACAAAAAATAATAATGGACCATGGGATCTGCTCTGTCCAAGCTGCTGATGGACTATTATGACCTATTAGTTGTTGTCCTCCTTCTCGTGGGACTTTAGCACTAGAGGGAGTGGTAGAAGAGGCAGAGGCAGGAGTAATTAGGTCTACTAGCGAGTTTTTTTTTTTGCTTTTTCATGGTTTAGGGGGTGATTTGGGCCTCTCTATGTAGAATAATCGAGGTCTTTGTGTTTGGGTGCTATCTTTGTTAGGGCTTGTTTTTGCGATCTTAGGCCCACTCAAAGTTTGTTTTGTTGGAGTGGCCCGTGGGATCTACTTTGCCTCTGTTTTCTGCTTTTCATATATGTTTTGTATATTTTGTTTTCTTTTCTAATAAATTACTTTGCCTTATTCAAAATAATAACAACAATAATAATAATAATGACTCAATTCTTCATCAATTTATAAACTAACTCTAGCTTATAATCAAACAATTAAGATTATAAGCTAATCGTTAGGATGGGGACCAAGTTAAATTGAACCACACAATTAAGATTGAAGTTGTGAAAGTTTACTCAATTTGATAAACTACTCATAATTCGACATGCTTTACATGATTAGACGAGAAAAAATATGATTGAAGATATAAATAACCCAATGAATGTTCATAACAAATAATTACCCAATGCAATCAACTTTAAAGCTCATCAACTACTGAGGCCAAGTTTGGGAGTGCTTAATAATAAGTGCTTATTTGAATAAGAACTTATTTTGGGCCGGGACCATACCATTAAGCATTTATTGGCATTTGGGAAATAAGCTCGAAATAAGTGCTTGGTGGAAGTATGATAGATGATGATTGGGAGTTAGCCTCCTCATCCAGTGAGGTCCGAACTGTGATTTTAGTGGGGTATATGGAGAATGGAAAAAGTGCAACCGTTAATAGCATTCTTTGTAGGAAGGCTTTGAAATAAGAAAGTAGTTATTTTGAAGTTACAAGTACTTGTGAAATGCGGAAGACTTGAATTAAATGATGGCCAAGTTGTGATTGTTATTGACATGCTTGGACTCTTTCGATTTTTTCAGCTGAATCAAACTTTGTTAAAGAAGAGATTATGAAGTGTATGAACCTAGCGAAGGATGGGATCTATGCAATTCTTGTGGTTTTCTTTGTCAGGACCCGTTTTTCAAAGAAAGAGGAAGCTGCAACTCAGAACTTGCAAACATCTTTTGGGGAGAAAGGGATGATCTAGAAGATAATGGTGAGACTTTGCAAGATTATTTGAGCCATGAGTGCCTTGAGACTTTAAAGGAAATTCTATGCCTATGCAAAAACTATGTAGTGCTTTTTGATAACAAACTAAGGATGAAAATATATAGGCTGAGCAGGTTCATCAACTACTCTCCCTTGTGAACATGGCTGTGGCAGAGAATGGTGGACAACCATACTCTGATGAATTTTTGGTTTAGTTAAAGCAAGGAGGTATGAAATTGCGTAATAAACAAGAAGAAGTTGAAGGGTTATACAAAACAAAAGATACTGGGGTTGAAGGATAGCAAATTTATAGGTCATATGCAGATCAACTCGGATAAATGACAGAGATGGTTGAATTGAGAAAACTCAAAGGCTTCTAAAACAATTAAGAAGAGCAAGTTGCACGATTAAAGATAAATGATTGCATAAGCCACATAATTGAAATCAAATGATGAAATTCATAAGCTTAGGGAGAAGTATGATGAACAATGTCTTATGTTGAAAGGTAACTTTGACATTAAAAAAAAAAAAATTAAGTTGCAAATGTCACCACATGATACACATAATTGACGATTGTTTAATGGTAGGTACTAAATTGTCACGTTTTGGAAGTTCAGATATGGATTGACACATTTTAAAGTTTGGGGGACCAAAATGAGTATGTTTTAATAGGACACTAATATGCAATTTTCCCTCCATTTTTTTACAATGAATCGCGCAAATCGCAATATCAACCATTACTATTGAACTATCCTTGACACAGACGGTCGAACTGTTCAGCCCAGAAACTGTCCAAGCAACCATTTTCGTTTCACTCTTAACCCATTCCTAGGTAAAAAACCGTTGACTTGATAAGAAAAACTGCTGACCCGGATGGTCGAATTGTCAACTTATTTGACCCTAACAATAGTTCACGATTTAAGAAAATTGCAGAGGATAGAGATGGGAGAAATTGAGCATGAGACAAGAACTTAGATCTGAGATCCAGTACAGAGAAAAAGAAGATTGGAGAAAAATCGATCTCAGATATGAGATTTGCATCTGTTGCTACCATTTCGCTATTGCCATTATCATCAGATCAACATCGAATCCTCTTCCTCCTTTTTCCCTCCTTTCCTTCATTTCTTCTCTCTCTTTTTCTTTTTCTTTTTCTTTTACTCCATTTCTTCCATCACTCCTCTTTTTTATGCAAATCGTCCGAACGTTCAACTTGAACGGTCGAACCACTGATCCGAAAACCGGTAATTAAAACGGTTCCGTTTCCGGATCGATTTTTAAAACCTTCATATAAAAAAAAGCTTTGATGAACGATTCGACCAACAAACCCTCTTCAATCTTCATACACAGCCCAGGAGAGAAAAACTTCAGTGTCTGATGGCTTCTTCGTGCTTGTTACTGAGAAACCCTACTCTTCCTTCAAAACCGTAGATCTCGAAACCCTAAACCTCTTACTACCTCTGCTCTAAACCTTGTCTCGCCCGAGATCTTAGAATTAGGGTCTTCTCTTCCTGGTTGGTCTCTACTAAGCATGGAACACGGTAACCCACACAACCACGCTCCCAAGCGCAAAAGAGACGATCCCTCCGACGAATTCGACCCTCCCGTCGAGAATGGCGTCGGTACCGGCGTTGACCTCTCCCTCCTCGAGGCCGTCGAGAAGTCACAGAGCTCTGTCGAAGTTCTCGACCTCCGAACCCTAAAGAAGCTCGTTTTATCCTTCGAACGCCGCCTCCGCGACAACCTTGAAGCTCGGTTGAAATACCCGGACCAACCTGACAAGTTCGCCGATTCTGAAATCGAACTTCACGAGGAGATCGAAAAGCTCAAAGTCCTCGCTGGCGGTCCGGAGCTCTACCCGGAGCTCGTGAACCTCAACACAATTCCTTCCATTCTGGGCCTGTTGAGCCACGATAACACCGACATTGCTATCGACGTTGTTGGGTTGCTCCAGGACCTTACCGACGAAGACGTTTTGGAGGACAACGACGAGCCTGCTAGGATTCTCGTCGACTCTCTGATTGAAAACAATGCTCTTGAATTGCTTGTTCAGAACCTGGGTCGGCTTTCTGAGACGGACCCAGATGAGATGACAGCAATTTACAACACGCTTGCGACGATTGAAAACATGATAGAGGTGAAGCCGGCGGTGGCGGAGCTTGTATGCGAAAGGACGAAGTTGTTGCGGTGGCTATTGGGGAAGGTAAAGGTTCGGGAGTTTGACAGTAACAAGCAGTACGCATCGGAGATTTTGGCGATTCTCTTGCAGAATAGTACTGCCAACCAGAAGAGATTAGGGCAGATGAATGGTGTGGATGTTGTGCTTCAGGCTGTTGCGCTTTATAAGTCGAGGGATCCGAAGAGTTCTGATGAGGAGGAAATGGTGGAGAATCTATTTGATTGCTTATGTTGTTTATTGATGCCATTGGAGAACAAAGAGAAGTTTGTGAAGGCGGAAGGGGTTGAGTTGATGATTATTATCATGAAGCAGAAGAAGTTGGCCTATGGGTCTGCTATAAGGGCGCTAGATTTTGCAATGACGAAGTACCCACCTGCCTGTGAACGGTTTGTGGATGTTTTGGGGTTGAAAACTGCATTCGCTGCTTTCATGGGTAAGGCAAGTTCCTGACTTCTTCTCTTGGCGTGTGGCATGTAGGAATCGTTGTGTTTCATAGCTATTTGTCTAATGAAACACCTTATGGCTAAACCGTGGCTTGCTTTTAGAGCCGCATAACCTGCATTTACAGTACTCTTTATTTTGCATTGCATGCATATTAAGAGTCAATGCTCTTATTGATGTTATTACTTATTACTTTACTTGGAAATGCAATATTGACACATATGGTGATTTAGGGTGGGGGCGGCTGGTTACTAAACGCTTTTCTCTTGAAAAGCAACTGGATCGTGATGGTTTATGCTTCTTTGTGTCAATGCATTTGTCAATGTCTGATTTTCCTTTAGTTTTTCTGTTAGGAACTTTGGTTAAAATATGTTAAAACACAGTGTTTTCTGTCCAGGAAAAAAGTTCCATTAAATCCCAGGGGAAAATTATCTAGCATATCCAATATTACAATTTTTTTTAATCATGTTAATTGCAATGCATTTTGGTTGCTTTAAATTATAAAATAGCTAGCAGTCTGCAAACTTCTTCAGAGTCATGGGTTTTGTTGTTGATTATATTTGATTGGGAGATGATTTATTTTCATGTGTTATTGTATTTTACTGTTCAATGATATTGTAGATTCCCGTGAGCAAGAAGAACAAGAAGGAAAGATACCAAGAGGAGTTGGAAGAGCGAATTATTTCACTTATTGCATCATTATTTGGTAAGAAGGCAAGTGAAATCAGAACTTAGAATTTCTTGTCGTTAAATGTATGTATGTATGTGGTATTAAACAGAAAAAAGATATGACATTAAATAGAATGGAATGGAGAAACAGGATTCTTGCAGCCAACCCAATATAGTTGGGACGGAACTTGGATGCGCTGTATCATGCTGAGAAAAGTTACACTTCCTTTCAATAGTAAAAAAAGTTATACTTCATTCTGTTTCATGGCTGCCTGTGGAATATACAAAAACTTGTTCTCATTTCCTTCTTTAGACACCAAGGAAAATGTTAGGGCATATTAATTTTATTAAATACTGAGGTATAGAATCCATGACCAACCATTTTTTGGATAAATAATAAATTTAGTAAAGAAAAAACAGTCGGTAGATCATCATATGAATGGGTTTTTAATCTATTTTTTTTATAAGTATTTTTAAAACTATCCTAGATGATTCAAGTATTCAACTGCTATTGGATAGCATAGTCCTTAGCTTAGTGGAAGGGCATTTACTTCTAATGAAAGGTCTGACTTCAAGTTATCATATAAATAAAATAACAACCACCAATCAAATAATGCAAGAGCTGAAAACAGAGTAGAAGCTTTGTAAATCCAGTGAAAAAAATTGAGAAAGAAATATGGTTAAGTTGTGCTCTTTCTTATCTATCCCCCTCTTTTTTCTTTTGTCTGGAAAAGAAGTGGTGCTCTTTCTTTGACCATCTAAAGAAATTTTCTACTAGACAAGAAAAAGTACAGAAATGAGCTTATCAAAAAAGGTGTAAAAACAAGAAAAAATGCTGCAAACTGAAAAATAGAAAGCGATTTTTGAAAAAAATGATTTATAATGTTAAGAAGGCATACATTTATAAAAAAAATGCTAAGAAGGCATACTATCTAAAAAGGGAAGTGAGATTATTCCAAAAATCCAGACATTGTCTAACTTGGCTAAGTTGTCTGCCAATCTGTTATCATTTCTTTGTAGAAATCTGACACGTTTTTCAAAGTTATATCTAAGGTTCCCATCTCACCTCAGTTATTGATAAAAAAGGTTCCTATTTCACCAGTTGTTATATTTTTGATAGAGAAATTTAACATATGTGATTAATTAAACAATAAAGATGATGCTACTTGCACATGTATATGCATAAACCATGTTAGGGCGCAGGTTTAGCCTGTTTAGAGTCCTAACATTTTCATCACTTACTCCAAGTCCTTAAAAAAGATTCCCTCAACTATTCAAACTGAGAGAGAGAGAGAGAGAGAGAGAGAGAGGGAGAGAGACTAAAGGGTAAAGATCTCTCTTTATCTGTGAATTACACACGAGAAACTACTCTCTCTAGGGCCAACTTATGCTGAGTGAAGTTTTCTATGATGGCATCATTGTGATGATGTAAATATGATGTTATCATGTTAAAAATCATTTCTAATGTCGAACTTGCACTTGTAATGCATCACTTGAGATGTCAAATTGTATTTTAGATTTTTAGTTTTGCTACCTGTGGTATCACAATTTATGTTAAGCATTTTCATGGAGTGAAAGGATGATAGTGTTCCAAGAAAATGCTTGGTATTGGATACAAATTGTAACTGCTTAAGCATTCTGGAATACTTGTATGGTAATAATTGGTGAACTACTTAGGAACTTGTTGAAGATATATATCAATACAGGTTGATTTTAAGAAAGGATCTGTTTGCATTTGATTGCTACATTATTTATATATTTAGTCCATTTCTTTTACCTATCTCAGCATTTGCTGCCATGCGTTTTTGTAAAAAAAGTAATGTTAATTGTTCTTTTGATGGCATATGACCTTATTCAGGTGGTATTTTGAGGGGTTCAAGAAGGGACAGGTTGTTGAGTAAGTTTGTTGAAAATGAATGTGAAAAGATAGACAGGCTTATGGAACTGTACATGAGGTAAGTCACTTCTAATATGCACAAAATACTTCATTCTAGTGTCGAGAATAATGTAATAGATCCATGTATTCATTTTTGGGCTGATTGCCATAATTGGTTAATTTTGGATTGGGAACTTTTTTTATCAATAATGATTAATAATATAAATCTCTGCATGATAAGGAGAATAACTATTCCAGCCATTGACTGGCTTATAAAAATCTCTACAGGAGTTAAATGCAACTCATAAAACTTTATTCTCATATCGGGATAATTGATGGATCTGTGTCTTCATCCTGGTCTGTATAACATTATCATTTGTACTTAACATGTGAATCTTTTATCCCCTATGACATAAATAGGTAATAAATAAATAATTGAAACACTTTTAAAATTATGGGCCATTGTTTGGTGCAATAGTAAAATCTTGGGCTGACAAGTGTGAGATTATAAAAATCAAGATTGAAAGTGGCAACTTTGTGCCAAAGGTTTTAGGTCTGTATTCAATCTATCCCTCCCAAGAGCCTGGACTGCCAGGATATTAGGTAATGGTCCCTTTAAAAAATCAAAAGAGTTTTAAATCCAAAGTGAACATGATGAGGACCCATGATTTGCTGCAGACACAGGCTAATTCCATATCATACTTTTGTATTGCTTTGCTTGGGCTATAGTTAAAAGTGTTTTGAGTATTTTAGATTTTTCATCTTTCTTCTTAAAGCCTATATTAGCATCTGATTCACTTCGATTCTTTTTCAGATATTCTGATAGAGTCAAGGCTGAGACTGAACGGCTAAACAAGCTTGAATTTGATGATATAGAGGTTCTTTGCCATTATTATTTAATCAACTTTCTCTAATCATTAAAAAATAATTATGTTTATTTTTGAGGTAAAACCTGATGACATCATGCATCATATTTTACAGGTGGATGAAGAGGAACGCTACAATCTGAAACTGGAATCTGGGCTCTACACTCTTCAGGTTATTATCTGTTTCTTGTAATTTTGTGTCATGGTTCCTACTCTGAAACATTTACTAGAATGCCACACTTCTTTTCTACCCTCTCATTCCCAAGAGGAGGATGAAAAAGAGGAAATAATTGACTGTGATGCATGGTATTATGTAAATCATGCTCATTCAGTGGTTAGGCATTTGACTAGTGCCTACTATGGTATGGGGATGATGCAGGCTTGCGGTTCAGTAACTATATGATTGAACAGCCCCGTGAAGGATGATGTAGTGGCACATGACAATCCCAAGTTGTTTTTGATTGGTAGAACAACACCAAAATAAAATGATATATTTCACTTTGTACCTGTCTTGGAAAGCTTTAGTGGATCTGGGTGCATTTTCTCCTCCACTTGATCCAATCCTTCAAGTCTCACCCAACAATGGAAGGAGAAGGTGGAGTTTTGCCACCATTGCAAGAGACTGAACTATTTGCCTTTGTCAATCAGGAAAGAAATTTGCAGGTGGGTGTGCCCTTCTTGACTGAAGGAACCTGCAATGCTTACATGTGAGGCGTTATCAGAAACCTAATACATCGTGTCATGATTTGAAATTCAAAGCACATAGTGCCAGCTTACGTGACACTTAGTGTCATTTGGGAGGGATTTCATGCAGTCGCTTCTGTTCATGCAAGGTGGGCCCCACATGGACAACCTAGAAGCTATGCTTGGTGAAAAACTTGAAAGCCCAAATATGCTATCATTTAGCCAAAAAATTGGCTTTCTGGTGTTATTTTAGTAGTTTCTTCAAAGTGTCTCGGTGAAAGCAGCTCAGTTGTAGCTGAAGCCTCCCAAATGCCCCCTTAATTTCCAAAAGGCCTTGGCTGTTTCTCTCTTCCCCCCCATTCCTCACC